TTACTTGGCTTTGATTATTTTCAGGATTTTTAGGAAAGGGACACTTTCATCTCTGGTATTAGATACTTCAGTTAAACATACTATTTTGCTATTAATATGGTTTTTGTGTTTTCATGATTACATCTTAGATATGCCTTTTCCTAATTGAATAAACAGATAGCTAAAAATATCATTTGCAAATGATTATATTTCATATAAATGTTGAAAGAGGAATTTAACATTATGATAAAGATAATTAACTTTAGAAAATGTTTGACTTACTATTAACAAATCCATAGTTTATATACCTCTAGTGTAGTGTAAAAGCCTTTGTTTTATTTATGTCAAGGTTATAAAGGACTTAAATTAAACAGGCCTATTTGAATCATATTTAAAACATTGAAAGCTTTTATGTTAATTTTTGGTACAATTGAACATTTGTTACATGGGAAAATAATTGTAAAATTGTTGATTATTTAGTCAGAAAATGCATTTTGGAAAAACAAAAAAACTACCAATCAAACTTTTGTATGTGTATAATTTTATATATATAATTACAGAATAAAATTTACATTTTGTGCAACTGTCCATTGATTTTATTAAAATACAGATTTTAGTGAAATATTATATTAACTACACATTTTAATTTATAAAAATCATTACCAAATTGAAAATACAATATTTCTCTAAGAAAGGCTATCTTGAAGTGCATTGTAAGTCACTTTCCAGAACAATTATGTAATTAGATTAGTGTAAACTTAAAAAATTTATGAAATACTTAGTAAAAAAAAAAATAGCTACGAAAACTTACACTTGCTAAATTGCTCAGAGAATGCAGGATGTACAGAGTGGCTACTTAAAAAATGTTGAATGATATAGTTGTGTTTACAAGTAATAGACAGCATATGTTTTGATTGCAAAGTATTAGGTCATCAAGTAATTAATGTTACTTTTCTTTAGATGAAAAATTCTGAACAACTTTTATATCAAAACAAATCATTTATTAAATGAAATAGGCTCCATCCTTATCGATGATACTTTTCCATCTTACAATCAGGTTGTTAATGCCCTGCTTAAAAACATCACTTGGCTTTGAAGAAAAAAACATGTTCATGTCCTCTTTAACATCTTACACATTTGCATACATTTTCTCATAAAGATGGTGTTGCAGCAAATGAAAAGAATGGTAATCTGATGGTGCCATATCTGGAGAATATGGTGGGTGGGGGAGAACTTCCCAACCCAACTCCATAATCTTATGTTGCATCAAACGTGCCACATGTGGATGTGCATTGTCGTGGAGAAGAAGAACACCTTTCTGATTCACGAGTGAAGGACATTTCTGATGAAGGGCTTGATTTAAATGTTCCAGTTGCTGACTAAAGATCTCTACATTGGCAGTTCACTGTGGATTGAGGGGTTCAAAATGAATTTCTCCTTTGATGGAGTCGGAAGTGGTTTTTGTCTAGGACTGAGCTATTGTTTTTGGAATTTAATATTCACCTAGAGAATCCATTTTTCATCACTAGTGACAATTCTGTCCAAATATGGTTCACTTGCATTTCACGGCAAAAGAGACAAAGCAACATTCACACCTTGGAAATGATTATCATCAGAGAGTTT